AACCTCCGGTGTGAGTGGACTAGTGGCCACGAGAGATAATGACAGGAGAGTCAGCCTGCAGTACGAATGCACTAGGAATGCACTAGTGGCCACGGGAGGTAATGACAGGGGAGTCGGCCTGCAGTGCGAATGGACTAGTGGCCACGGGAGGTAATGACAGGGGAGTCAGCCTGCAGTACGAATAGACGAGTGGCCACGGGAGGTAATGACAGGGGAGTCAGCCTGCAGTGCGAATGGACTAGTGGCCACGGGAGGTAATGACAGGGGAGTCAGCCTGCAGTGTGAGTGGATTAGTGGCCACGAGAGGTAATGACAGGGGAGTCAGCCTGCAGTGTGAGTGGATTAGTGGCCACGGGAGGTAATGACAGGGGAGTCAGCCTGCAGTGTGAGTGGACTAGTGGCCACGGGAGGTAATGACAGGGGAGTCAGCCTGCAGTGCGAATGGACTAGTGGCCACGGGAGGTAATGACAGGGGAGTCAGCCTGCAGTACGAATGGACGAGTGGCCACGGGAGGTAATGACAGGGGAGTCAGCCTGCAGTGCGAATGGACTAGTGGCCACGGGAGGTAATGACAGGGGAGTCAGCCTGCAGTGTGAGTGGATTAGTGGCCACGAGAGGTAATGACAGGGGAGTCAGCCTGCAGTGTGAGTGGACTAGTGGCCACGGGAGGTAATGACAGGGGAGTCAGCCTGCAGTGCGAATGGACGAGTGGCCACGGGAGGTAATGACAGGGGAGTCAGCCTGCAGTGTGACGTTACTGGTGGCCACGGGAGGTAATGCCAGGGGAGTCAGCCTGCTGTACGAATAGACTAGTGGCCACGAGAGGTAATGACAGGGGAGTCAGCCTGCAGTGCGAATGGACTAGTGGCCACGGGAGGTAATGACAGGGGAGTCAGCCTGCAGTACGAATGGACGAGTGGCCACGGGAGGTAATGATGTGGGAGTTAACCTGTAGTACGAAGGGACTGGTGGCTATGGGAGGTAATGACAGGGGAGTCGGCTTGCAGTACGAAGGAACTGGTGGCTACGGGAGGTATTGACAGGGGAGTCGGCTTGTAGTACGAAGGGACTGGTGGCTATGGGAATGATCGAGAATAGGAGCGTGGCCAGGTGACGGAAGAGAACGGTGGAGTCTGCTGGTAGAGCGAGCGGTCTAGAATCAGCGAGAAGGTTCGGAAATGGGGGCATGGCCTCGGACCGTATAAAAGGGAGATGCGCGGGAGACTCGGGGCTGTCAGAGTGGGGGTCTCCGCCTATCCGAGTGTGATCACGCGGCTCCTTAATACAGAAACCATCTCAAGACAAGCGCGTCGAAGTCGTCATTACAAATGTGAGAATTATACTTTAAATGGTAATCGTGATCACGGTTCTCACCTGCTAGCGCTGTTCAGCACAACCATGCCCGCCCTCTGCGCGTGAGAACGCGCCTTACGACGCAAGTGATAGCCCTGTTTATTACGATTATAAGCATGTAAGTGTGCTAACAATAGTGGTAACTATTATAATTACGATCAACGTTGTAATTGTTGGTCTCGCGCTCAGGGAGAGGGTAATGCAGCGGCTGCTCAGGCGCCATCACGAGCATGCGCTGCAAGGTGCACGCCCCCCATTGGTCAGACGGCCGCTCAGCAACGGCCGCTGTGATTGGACGAGACGTTTGGCCCTCGTGGCTGCGCGCAACCATTCGTGATTTTAACAAGAGGGGGACAAGGTAGAATGTGTGAGTCCTAATTATTAAAATTATAAGAGAGTTTTAATAATAAATTAGTAAAATTGACTATTTAAATAGAAAAATAAATTGATTGTTAATGATTAAAATTTATTATAAAAAATAATCATGATGAAGAGCCGCTCTATATATGTAATTATGATTTAAACGGTGTTAGTAAAAGACCTGTTACTAAAAAAACTGCTACTAAAAGACGTATTACTAGAACATGTGTTACTAAAAAACATTACTAAAAGACATGTTACTAAAATACGTGTTACTAAAAACATTTTTATAAAAAAAAAGTTTAAAAAAACACGTACACACACGTTGTGATGACGACCGTTTGTGTTGCGATCGAAACGTCATCGTTTTCTGTGAAAAATATCTACGTGACTTTACCGAAAGACCCAAAGAAAATTTTACAAAAATTTTTTACTAAAAATATGTTACTAAAATGTGTTACTAAAATATGTTACTAAAATGTGTTACTAAAAATGTGTTACTAAAAATATGTTACAAAAATGTTACAAAAAATGTTATTAAAAATGTGTTACTAAAATGTTACTAAAAATGTTACTAAAATGTGTTACTAAAAATGCGTTACTAAAATATGTTACAAAAAATGTGTTACTAAAATATGTTACTAAAAATGTTACTAAAAATATGTTACTAAAAATATTACTAAAAAGTGTTACTTAAAAGGTGTTACTAAAATATGTTACTAAAAATGTTACTAAAAATGTGTTACTAAAATGTGTTACTAAAAATGTTACAAAAAATGTGTTACTAAATACGTTACTAAAAATGTTACTAAAATATATTACTAAAAATGTGTTACTAAAATGTGTTACTAAAAATATGTTACAAAAATGTGTTACTAAAAATGTTACTAAAATGTTACTAAAAATGTTACTAAAAATGTTACTAAAAATATGTTACTAAAAATGTTACTAAAATGTGTTACTTAAAAGGTGTTACTAAAAATATGTTACTAAAAATGTTACTAAAAATGTGTTACTAAAATGTGTTACTAAAAATGTTACTAAAAATGTGTTACTAAATACGTTACTAAAAATGTGACTAAAATATGTTACAAAAAATGTGTTACTAAAATGTGTTACTAAAAATATGTTGCAAAAATGTGTTACTAAAATTTTTACAAAAAATGTTACTAAAATGTTACTAAAAAATGTTACAAAAATTTTTTTACTAAAATATGTTACAAAAAATTGTTACTAAAAATGTTACTCAAATGTTACTAAAAATGTGTTACTAAAATGTGTTACTAAAAATATGTTACAAAAATGTGTTACTAAAATTTTTACAAAAAATGTTACAAAAAATGTTACTAAAATTTTTTTACTAAAATATGTTACTAAAAAAATGTTACTAAAAATGTTACTCAAAATGTATTGCTAAAAAAGAAACAAACGGGCAGAGACGTCGAGACGGGTGCAACGGTTCGGAACAGAACGGACATCGCCACGTGGCCCCTCTAAGCCAACAACCTCCACAACCTCTCCGTTCGCTCTCTCTGGTTGCTGTCGAGAAGGGCCGTTGCCCGAAACGTCGCCGATTAAATAAATATTTCCTTTCTTCCACGCCACACACGCGTTTTTTGTATTCTTCTTCTTCTTGACAAATGCGTTGTGAGTGCTTGCTTGCTTTGTTTGGTTGTTGCTGTTGGTAAAGGGGCCGTCAATTTCTTGTCGGCCGCTGACTTTCTCAATCGCGGCGGAGGCGGCGGTGACGAGAACTGATGGGGGGAGTGGGCGGGCGGGCGACGAAGGGCGTTTGCTTTTCCCCTTGAAGGTTCTCAATAAAACATTCATAGTCATAATGAACGACGCTGATGCCCCCGCGAAATAAAACATTCATAGTACCCGGAGACAAGCTGGCGAGCGCGCCTGTGTGAGTGTGTGTCTGTGTGTGTGTGTGAGTGTTTGTGTGTGTGAGTGTGTTTGTGTGAGTGTGTTTGTGTGTGTGAGTGTGTTTGTGTGTGTGAGTGTGTCTGTGGGTGTGTGAGTGTTTGTGTGAGTGTGTCTGTGTGTGTGAGTGTGTGTGTCTGTGTGTGTGTGAGTGTGTCTGTGTGTGTGCGTGTGTTTGTGTGTGTGAGTGTGTCTGTGTGTCTGTGTGTGTGAGTGTGTTTGTGTGTGTGTTTGTGTGTGTGTCTGTGTGTGTGCGTGTGTTTGTGTGTGTCTGTGTGTGTGAGTGTGTCTGTGTGTGTGTGTGAGTCTGTGTGTGTGAGTGTGTCTGTGTGTGTGCGTCTGTGCGTTTGAGTGCGTCTGTGTGTGTTATTGTGTGTGTTTATGTGTGTGTGTCTGTGTGTCTGTGCATCTGTGTGTGTGAGTGTCTGTGTGTGTCTGTGTGTATGTTTCTGTGTTTGTGTCTGTGTGTGTGTTGTGGGAAGCGGTAGTGTAGCGGTTAGCGCGCTACGCTGCGAACCTGGCGACCCGGGTTCGATTCCCATTCACGACCAACACCAGTGACGATTGTCTGAACCAGTTCTGGCCCGATGTTTACACACCTGCGGTGTGTAAACATCGTCACTAGGGAGACAAAGGCGGCCGGGCGTGGTGCTGGCCACCCACCCCCTCGCGTACCGTATTGGCCCAACAGTCTGTTAAGTCTATACGGGAATCTTTTGTGTGTGGGGTGTATGAATGAGTGCGATTGTCCTCATGTCCCCACGTCTACCCCCTAAGTCTCTCCCCACGTCTCCCCAGGTCACTCCTTGTCTCCCCACGTCTTTCACCAGGTCTAACCCCACGTCTCCCCAAGCCTCACCCCGCATCTCCCAGCGTCTCTCCCCACATCTCCCCAGGTCACTCCACATCTACCCACATCTCACCCCAGTCTCCCCACATCTCCCCATGTCTTTCACCAGGTCTAACCCCACGTCTCCCCAAGCCTCACCCCGCATCTCCCAGCGTCTCTCCCCACGTCTCCCCAGGTCACTCCACATCTACCCACATCTACCCACATCTCACCCCAGTCTCCCCACATCTCTGCATGTTTTTCACCAGGTCTCACCCCACGTCTCACCCCACATCTCTCCTTCGTCTCCCCAAGTCTCACCCTGCATCTCTCCGCGTCTCTCCCCACGTCTCCCCACATCTCACCGCAGTCTCCCCACGTCTCCCCACATCTCACCCCAGTCTCCCCACGTCTCCTCGCGTCTTTCACCAGGTCTCACCCCACGTCTCCCCGCGTGTCTCTCCCCCACCGCCACGTGTCTCCCCACGTGCCTCTCTCCCCCCCCCACCGCCCCCGGCGAGGGCATCTCACCGATGCGGTCGAGGCGGTCGATGGCCACGGTCTCGAAGGCTCGCCGCATCATGGGGTACTCCTCCAGCACCTCGTTGAAGTGGTCCACGGAGAGCGAGAAGAGGCGGCAGTACGTGTCGGCGCGCACACTCGCCGTGCGGCGCCCGCGCGTCAGCAGGCAGATCTCTGCACGCGCAGAGTCGCCGTCGTCATCATCGTCATCATCAACAGCAGCAGCATCATCATGAGCAGCGTCATCAGCAGCACCATCAGCATTATCATCATCATCAACAACAGCATTATCAGCAGCATCAGCATTCTCAGCAGCAGCATCATTATCATCATCAGCAGCAGCAGCATTATCATCATCATCAGCAGCAGCATCATTATCATCATCAGCAGCATCATTATCATCATCATCATCAGCAGCAGCATCATCGTCATCATCATCAGCAGCAGCATCATCATGAGCAGCATCATCAGCAGCACCATCAGCATTATCATCATCATCAACAACAGCATTATCAGCAGCATCAGCATTCTCAGCAGCAGCATCAGCATTATCAGCAGCTGCATCATCATCAGCAGCAGCATCAGCAGCAGCAGCATCATCATTAGCAGCAGCAGCATCATCATCATGAACAACAGCAGCATCATCAGCATTATCATCATCAGCTGCATCATCAGCATTATCATCATCAACAGCATTATCAGCAGCAACATCATTATCAACAGCAGCAGCATCATCAGCAGCAGCATCATCATCAGCAGCATCATCATTAGCAGCAGCATCATCATCATGAACAACAGCAGCATCATCAGCATTATCATCATCAGCTGCATCATCAGCATTATCATCATCAACAGCATTATCAGCAGCAACATCATTATCAACAGCAGCAGCATCATCAGCAGCATCATCATCAGCAGCAGTAGCATCAGGATCATCAGCAGCATCATTAGCATCATCGGCAGAATCATCAGCAGCATCATCAGCAGCATACATCATCAGTGTCATAATCATTATCATCATCAGCAGATCATCATCAGTTTCACCCGTTATCATCATCATAAGCAGTGGCATCATCATCAGCAGCAGATCTCTTAGGTGCGCAGCATCATCGGCATCATCGGCATCATCATCATTATCGGTGTCATCTTTGTCATCTTCGCCATCGTCAGCAGAGACTCCTAGCAGGAATAGCTCCTGGTTCAAAAGCGAGGGCCACCTCAACGCGAGACAAATCTCTGGAGCGATACCGCTCCAGTGATTTGTCTCGCGTTGAACCGAACGCTGCCTCACTCATGTCACGACCAGACGGCCGATGGGATGTGTAAAGAAACAAGTTTGTGTTGCGGCAGATCGTGCGAAGGGGGTGTGCAGAAGCAGGCGCCTGATTGTCCGCTTATTTATTTATTCCTCCTCCTGAGGCTCCTCCTCCTCACGTCCTCCTCCTGAAATTCCCTCCCTCTCCACCCTCCCCTCCTCCTGACCTTCTCATCCTGAACCTCCTTTTCCGTCCCCTCCCTCCCTCCATCCATTCCTCCCTCCTGACCTCCTGACCTCCTGACCTCCTCCTCCTCCTGAACCCCTCCCTCCCCTGCCTCCCCTCCCCCTCCCTCCTCCTGAACCCCTCCCTCCCCTCCTTCCCTCCCTCCCTCCCTTTCTACCCCCCCCCCCTCCTGACCTTCTCATTCTGAACCTCCCTTTCCTTCCCCTCCCTCCCTCCATCCCTCCCTCCTGACCTCCTCCTCCTGAACCCCCCCCCCTCCTCCTGAACCTCTCCCTCCGTCTCCTCCCTCCCTCCCTCCTCCTCCTGAACCCCTCCCTCCCTCCTCCCTGCCTCCCTCCCCCCTCCTCCTGAACCCCTCCCCCCCTCCCTCCTCCTGAACCCCCCCCTCTCGCCCTCGCGTGGACCGACCTCCAAAGTAGGAGCCGTCGGAGAGCTTCGTCTCCTTGTTGGCCTTGGTGATGATGCTGACGACGCCGTGCTGGATGAAGTACATCTTCTTGCCGATGGTGCCCTCGCGCACGATGAAGTCCGCCGGCTGGAACACCTCGAACTGCAGCTTGGTGAGCATCGCCGTCACGAAGTTGGGGTCCGCGTTGGCGAACAGCGGCATGGAGGCGACGAGCTTGCGGCAGTTGTAGTTGACGATCTCCTGCGGTCGGGGGGGGGGGGCACGTGGTTCGTGGTGACCGGTGACCACGGCGGCGGTGATGGTGGTGATGACGATGGTGATAGAGATGGTGATGACGATGGTGATAGAGATGGTGATGGCGATGTTTATAGAGATGGTGATGACGATGGTTATACAGATGGTGATGACGATGTTTATAGAGATGGCGGTGGCGATGTTTATAGAGATGGTGATGACGATGGTTATACAGATGGTGATGGCGATGATGATAGAGATGGTGATGACGATGGTTATAGAGATGGTGATGACGATGTTTATAGAGATGGCGGTGACGATGGTGACAGAGATGGTGATGACGATGGTGATAGAGATGGTGATGACGATGGTGATAGAGATGGTGATGACGATGGTGATAGAGATGGTGACGGTGATGGTGATATAGATGGTGATGACGATGGTGATAGCGATGGCGATGGTGATATAGATGGTGATGATGATGTTTATAGAGATGGTGACGGTGATGGTGATAGCGGTGGCGATGACGGCGACGCGTCTCGCGCTCACGTGTCGGAGCGGCTCGTTGAGCTCCCCCAGGATGTTGTCCTCATCGAACATCTTGCCCTGGTAGCGGTGCTCGTAGTACTCGTGGATGCGCTGGCGCAGCTCCGCCGGCAGCTTGTGGAACGACATGTACTGCTCCACTTGCTTGTACTGCACGCGGGGGGTCAATAGGTCAACGGGTCAAGGGGTCAGCGACGGGTCGGTCGGCATGCACTGCTCCACTTGCTTGTACTGCACACGGGGGGTCAATAGGTCAACGGGTCAAGGGGTCAGCGGTGGGTCGGTATGGTATGCACTGCTCCACTTGCTTGTACTGCACGCGGGGGGTCAATAGGTCAACGGGTCAACGACGGATTGGAATGATATGCACTGCTCCACTTGCTTGCACTGCACACGGAGGGTCAATAGGTCAACAGGTCAAGGGGTCAGCGGCGGGTCGGTACGGTATGCACTGCTCCACTTGCTTGTACTGCACGCGGGGGATCAATAGGTCAACGGGTCAACGGCGGGTCAGCGGCTCAAGGGGGTCGACCGGTCAATGGGGGTCCGTGCTAAAGGGGTTATTTTGGGGAGGGAGGGGGTTGCCACTAAAGCCATCGCCGCCCCCGACACAGCCGATTGGCGAGGCCTCGTCGCCGCAAACAAAACGTGGCCAAATTCGCCGGCCGCTTCAGCACGCCGGGTTTGTTGTTGTTGTTGTTGTCGGTGTGTTGGGAAGGTAAACCCCGCAGCGTTTACAATTCCGAGTACAATAATAGTAGGTGTTTACCCTTTAAACTGGTACAAAACTGACACATTTATACAAGGCATCATGTTTGCAATAAACACAACACAAGCAGTCAAAATGCAAACAAAAAGAAACAACTCTGATAATGATAATAATATGCACTGTCCTTGAAGTTGATTGGTCCACACCCGAGACAGCTTTTCTTAGAGCCTAGTCTCTATTGGTGTTGGACCAGATGACACCAAAAGGCGTACAACTCAAAAACAGTGCACTATCAGAGTATTGAGAGCTCGGGGTAAGCATTTACACTATGAGACCTCCTTTACCAGTGGCAAAATATAGTAGTAGGTTTTTACCCTTTAAACTGGTACAAAATCATTATCATCATCAGAGTTGCTTCTTTTTGTTTGCATTTTGACTACTTGTGTTGTGGTTATTCCAAACATGATGCCTTGTATAAAGGTGTCCGTTTTGTACCAGTTTAAAGGGTAAAAACCTACTATAATATTTTGCCACTGGTAAAGGAGGTCTCATAGTGTAAATTCCGAGTACGGTGAAGGTTCCGCGGGCGACTGCAACCAATCAGGAGCTCCAGCACGGGGCAATTGGAAATGCGAGGAAGTCCCCCGTGCGTCGTCAGTCTCAAGCAAATGTGACGTCATCGCTGTGAGCCCACGTGGTGCTAATCTGGTCAGTGGGAGGTCAATGTGTCAGTTAGGCAGAGGGAGGGGGGGTCATCAGGTCGACGGGTCAAAGTGTCAGCGATGCACAGGGGGTCAATGGGGGGGGGGGCGGTCAACGTGTCGGTGATGCACGTAGGGGTCAATGGGTCAGCGATGCACAAGGGGGTCAACTGGTCAATGAAGGGGTCAACGTGTCAGTGATGCACATCGGGGTCAACGGGTCAATGGGGGGGTGGTCAACGTGTCGGTGATGCACATGGGGGTCAATGGGTCAGCGATGCACAGGGGGGTCAACTGGTCAATGGAGGGGTCAACGTGTCAGTGATGCACAGGGGTCAATTGTTCAACGCGTCAGCAATGCACAGGGGGGTCAATGGGTCAACGTGTCAGTGATGCACAGGGGTCAATTGTTCAACGCGTCAGTGATGCACAGGGCGGTCAATGGGTCAACGTGTTAGTGATGCGCATGGGGTCGACTGGTCAATGTGGGGTCAAGCGGTTCACCCGCGTCAAAGGGTGAGAGGTGACGGGTCATCGCTGCTGATGAGGATGATAGTGATGATGACGGTGTCGACGATTAGAATCGCCCAGAGCCGGATGTAGGCCGAGGCTGAGCGAGCCACCGCTTGGGGCCTCTCATTGCGAGGGGTGCGGCATGCGGGCGGGCGGCGACCTCCGAATACGAAATAAACATTAATGAAACAACGGCACGAAGTTGAAAGTTTTTACATAATCGGTTGAAAAATAAAGAAGACTGTGGGTTTAACAAAAAACCCGGACTTAAACGGTTACAGGGTTCTAGATTTGAAGCTTTCGTGACTGCAAGTATTCATATTCTTAGATTTTGTCGGTAAAGTCACCTCGGTAAAGTCACCTAGGTGACCTAGGTGACTTTACCGAAAAAACCTAAGAATACGGTTACAGGGTGTCCTCTTCTTACGAACGAGTTAGGTTCCAGAGGTACTGCTCGTAACTCGATTTGTTCGTAAGTTCCATCTTTACTCCTGTCGATTCGAAACGCGTTGTACGGCGTGTACACTCAACACGGGGAATGGCTTTAAAAGTTGTGTAATCTCCTGCAGACGTAGATGCCGCTGGTTCTTCACGTTCCGCAGATGTAGACGCCACCACCGCCGTCTATTGCGCTGCGGTTGAACTCACGACTCTCGATCCGAACAGGCAACTGGACATACGCACCAGCCTTGTTCGTATCTCTGACAGTTCGTGAGTAGAGGCGTCCCTGTATTTCCATTGCGATATTAGACAACAAATCTCAGAGGCATTCCTCCAAGGGAGGACCCCCTCGAAAAGCTTCACGCGGCTGAATTTTAGATACCCCAGCAACGTCACAATCCCCCCCACCCCCCCCGGAGGGGAGATGGAGGAGGGGGCAAGGGGGAGGGGGGGACCCTCAATGCCCCCCACGCACCTTCTCCTGGTACTGGCGTCGCGACGAGTCGAGCGACTGGATGAGCGCCGTGGCGTGCCCGATGAACATGGCGTAGCACGTGGCGCCCACAATCATGCTCAGCATTGTGAGCCACACGTCGGACATGCTGGAGGGCGCCTGCTGCCCGTAGCCGATGCACAGCATGTGGCTCATGGCCATGAAGAGGGCGTACGAGTACTGCATCTCCCACGACACGTTCTGCGGCGGGACACAATGACAAAGGTCGCCCGTGTAGCCTTCACGGGGGGGGTGTGGGGACAAGTGCTGTTAGTGAACGAGGAATAGCATCGACTCGTAAAAGCCGGCACTGTTGCACACGAGGGGGTGCGGCGCGGTGGCCAGCAAGCGGCGACATCGCTAAGTAACGCAAATCCAAAGATCGCTTCCATCCCACCCCCCCCCCCCCTCCGGCAATGTCGCCGTGCGTGTGGTGAACAGCGGCGCTGTGGGTGAGTGTGGGTGGGTGAGTGTGGGTGGGTGAGTGTGGGTGGGTGAGTGTGTGTGGGTGTGTGTGGTTGAGTGTGGGTGGGTGAGTGTGGGTGTGTGTGTGTGGGTGGGTGAGTGTGGGTGAGTGTGGGTGGGTGTGTGTGGTTGAGTGTGGGTGGGTGAGTGTGGGTGAGTGAGTGTGGGTGGGTGGGTGGGTGAGTGAGTGTGGGTGAGTGTGGGTGGGTGAGTGTGGGTGGGTGAGTGTGGGTGGGTGAGTGTGGGTGGGTGTGGGTGAGTGAGTGTGGGTGGGTGAGTGTGGGTGAGTGTGGGTGGGTGAGTGTGGATGGGTGAGTGTGGGTGGGTGTGGGTGAGTGTGGGTGGGTGAGTGTGGGTGGGTGAGTGTGGGTGGGTGGGTGTGGGTGGGTGTGGGTGAGTGTGGGTGGGTGGGTGTGGGTGGGTAAGTGTAGGTGGGTGAGTGTGGGTGTGTGAGTGTGGGTGGGTGTGGGTGAGTGTGGCTGGGTGTGTGTGGGTGGGTGAGTGTGGGTGGGTGTGTGTGGAAGGATGAGTGTGGGTGGGTGGGTGAGTGTGGGTGGGTGGGTGAGAGTGGGTGGGTGAGTGTGGGTGTGTGTGGGTGGGTGGGTGAGTGTGTGTGGGTGGGTGGGTGGGTGTGGGTGGGTGAGTGTGTGTGGGTGAGTGTGGGTGAGTGTGGGTGGGTGTGTGTGGATGGGTGTGGGTGGGTGAGTGTGGGTGGGTGTGTATGGGTGGGTGTGGGTGGGTGAGTGTGGGTGGGTGAGTGTGGGTGAGTGTGAGTGGGTGAGTGTGGGTGGGTGACGGTAAGGGGGCAGAGGAGCGACGCTCACAACAACGAGCGGAGCGCCGGGTGGCTAAAGCACAGCAAGTCGGCACAGTAGGGGGCACAGGTGGTGCATCGGTCAGTCATCTCGGTCATCTCAGTCAGTCGACCCGTGGCACCTGGGTGGTGCTCCGTGACCTCCTGCCGGCGGGCGTTCGACACTTCACGTGGCCTTAACGTGCACCTAGCCTGGCACAAGTGTCGTGGTGATGTCACCGCCACTTAGTGGCGAATGGCGGTTGTTGTTGTGTGTGTTGGTGAGTGTCGGTGAGTGAGTGTGGGTGAGTGTGATTAGAGGTGAGTGTGGGTGTGTGTGGGTGTGTGTGAGTAGGGGTGAGTGTGAGTAGGGGTGAGTGTGGATGAGTGTGTGGGTGAGTGTGTGTGAGTGTGTGGGTGAGTGTGAGTAGAAGTGAGTGTGGATGAGTGTGTGGGTGAGTGTGAGTAGGGGTGAGTGAGTGTGGGTGAGTGAGTGTGGGTGAGTGTGGGTGAGTGTGAGTAGGAGTGTGTGTGAATGTGGATGAGTGTGAGTAGGGGTGAGTGTGAGTGAGTGTGAGTTGGTGTGAGTGTGAATAGGGGTGAGTGTGTGTGAGAAGCGTCAACTCCGGGCGTGTCTCTGCACGCCCGGAATCCGGCGCCGCGCGTCTCGAGTTAGCGGATCACTCCGGGATCACTCCGGCATCACGCTGCGCGCCAGAATCCCACCCAGGGCGGCCGGGGCGGTGCAGTGCAGCAAGTAGTTTACCCGTCTACCCACGTTCGTACTCTTCGCTGTGTGTATCTCCTCTTCGCTGTGTGTATCTCCTCTTCGCTGTGTGTATCTCCTCTTCGCTGTGTGTATCTCCTCTTCGCAGTGTGTCATCTTCTCTTCGCTGTGTGGCATCTCCTCGTACCGTGGTGTGGCTGTCAAGGGGCTTGCTGGCATCGGTTCCACCTGAAGACGGAAGCTTGTGTTGCCTCCGAAACGTCGTGATTTTTATTTTATTTTACTTTTATTAATTTTAATTTTTTACCTACGTGACTTTACCGAAAAAAACCTAAGAATATGAATCCTTGCAGTCACGAAAGCTTCAAATCTAGAAGCAAACCTGACTCTGCTGATGAGACATCGAATGTCGAAACCTTGTCTGGACACATTTTTTCAAAACATTTCTTTGGTTCTTTCGGTAAAGTCACGTAGATAGAAAATAAAAATAAAATAAAAATGTTTAATAAAATTGTCTAGACAACCTCTTCCCCCCCCCCCCTCCTCCTCCAACGCTCCCCCAGCTCGAGAATTATCCGAAGCTCGAACTTGTTCCATGTCCCATTGGCTCGCGTGGATTATCCTCCGCGTCATCCTCCGGTTTCCTCCACCCCTCCTCCCTCCTCCCCCCCCTCCCTCCCCCCCTCCCCGCACCTTCACATCGAGACTCAACACGGACGAGTTTTATGATTAATTCCACGCGATGATGATAAGCCACTAAACTTCGTTGCGCTATCATTTTGTGACAGCTCAGGTCGCTTCGGGGAGGGGGGGCGGGGGGGGTTACACCTTGTGTAAGATAAATAAAAATAGTGAAGTGTTTTTATTTAGCTTAGTTTAGATCGCCCCCCCCCCCCCCCACGGTCAAACGACGCGTGGACACAATCACAGCCCGTTATACTCGGCGGGGGTGAGAGGGGGAGCGGGCGGAAGGGGGGGGGCTGGGTGGAGGAAGAACTGGGGGAGGGGGGAGGGGGGTTGGGGGGAGTGGGGTTGGGGGGAGGGGGGGGCTGGGTGGAGGTACAGCTGGGGGGAGGGGGGAGGGGGGTTGGGGGGAGTGGGGTTGGGGGGAAGGGGGGGGGCTGGGTGTATGAAGAACTGGGGGGGGGGAGGGGGTTGGGGGGAGTGGGGTTGGAGGGAGGGGGGGGGGCTGGGTGGATGAAGAACTGGGGGGAGGGGGAGCGGGGGAAGGGGGGGCTGGGTGGAGGAAGAACTGGGGGGAGGGGGAGGGCGGTTGGGGGGAGGGGGGGCTGGGGAGTAGAGGGGGCTGGGTGGATGAAGGACTGGGGGGGAAGAGGGCTGGGGATGAGTCGGGGAAGGGGGGCTGGGGAAAGGAGGGAGCTGGGGTGAGGGGAGGCTGGGGTTGGTAGTAAGGGGGGGCTGCGGTGAGTGAGGGGGGGGCTGGGGATAGGGATGGGGGGGCTGCGGGGGGGTGGTGGTGGAATTCCTGCAAGGCGGGTACGCGACGTTGTCGTCTGTGGAGCGCTCGGAATCTCTCTCGCCAGCCCGAGCCCTCCACGGGGAGAGTAAGAAGGCTCGCCCTCTCGCATTTCAATGAACTTCTGCAACGCCTCTCCTCGCCCCGTGCGAGAGGCGTCGTTTGTTCTTTTCAGTCGGGGTGGCGGCGGGGGGGGGGGCGGTAGGAGCTGTTCATAATCGGGCGTCCGTATTTGCCAAGGACAAGTTATGTCGGATCTTGGCTTCACCGTTGGAGTGGAAGGCTGGGGGGGGGGTGGTGGATGGGGGTGAGGTTTTTTTGTGGTGTGGTTTTGGTTACAATCGCGACCTCTGGGCAGGTGGTGGACGATGGGCGATTCATCTTCTTGGTTCTTTCGGTAAAGTCATGTAGAAGGGAAGTAATAAAATAATAAAAATAAAACATAATACAATAATTCTCACGACGTTTCGGCCACAACGCAAGCAGCCGTCCTCAGGTGAAAACCAGGTCTGTCGAGGCGACAGAGTCTGAATGAAACAGCACACGAGCTTGGAGCATATATATATAAGCTGGGCGCCTTGACAAAGGAATTTGCATATCAAGAGGAATTTAGCATTTGCTAAATGTCGATTTTTGACCCGGTGGAGGCAATGCTGGGAGTGCCAGGGAGGCGAGACGTCCACTGCCTCACCTGGCACACGGGAGCATCGTGGATTCCACCATGGCACTCCCGCCTGTATATTTGGAGTTTTCGGCGTCTCTCTCTCTCTCCTTCCCTCTTTCTCCCCGTGGTTGTGTGGATTTTTCTCCGGGTCCTCCGGGTTTTCCCTCCACGTTTAGAATCACCGTGCGTTTTAGAGTAATTTGGCTGCTATAAATTTCCACGTGATAAGCCACTTCGTTGAGCTCGCATTTCTGGAAAGATGGCTTCTAAAAAAGTTCTATATAACTCAGTGGGCTATACAACTGTTAACATAATAAAATTATCTTCTTGGTTCTTTCGGTAAAGTCACGTAGAAGGGAAATAATATAACAATAAAAATAAAACATAATAAAATACAATTCTCACGACGTTTCGGCCACAACGTAAGCAGCCGTCCTCAGGTAAAGAACAGGTCTGTCGGAAAGACAGCGTCTGAATGAACACCACCAAGCTTGGCAGCGCATATTTAAGCTGGGTTAGCGGAGGGAAGGGCGCCTTGACAAAGGAATAATAATAAAATTCGTTTATAGTCGAGTTTTAGTTTGTAGTCGAGTTTTTAGGTCCGGCTGGTGGTTCACCCTCCCGCCCTCCACCCGCCCCCTCCCCTCGTCCCGTCCGGCACCACCCCCCACCGCCTCCTGAAGTTTTGTTTTAATTGAAACTCGGAAGAGAAATAAGTAATTCAGAACAAACGCCAACAACAACAACAACCCAGCCAAGAGTTGCGCAAGTTACATTTTGACAAAAGTCGCGGGAGTAACTGGGACGTGGAGCGATTTGCGTGACTTTGAGTGGAGGTAACCTCACTGCGTGGCCACACATAACGATTCCAAAGAACACAGGATGAGATGTTACTATCCTTTGTGCAAGCACTTCCAAGAGTTCATGAACAGTGAGCCTGGTGAAATTTGGGGAGCGCATCGTCAGTAGTAAACCTTTGGGTCCTAGGGTGTTTCGGCCTTTCACACTATACACCCTCCCCAAAGGCGGCCAGCGACAGGGTGATCAATCCTACGCTTGCTTCCCATTCCCAATTAGTCATAGGAGTTGCCTTGTTGTTGATAGCCACCATCCCATGGGACTATGCATGGCAGGGGCGTCCTCGTCCCTGAGTCAAGCATTGTTGACTGCATACCTCCTGGCCCTCTCACTTTGGGGCCCAAGTGACTGTGATTATTGAACCGAAATCGGCTTCCAATTCATCCACGTGCACCGCGATTCTCACCTTGCTGTAACAATAGCGCCCTGATTGTCATTGACATCGGACGGAATCTGTCACGTGTCCCTGTCACGTGTCACTGCCACGTGTCTATCACTGTCACGTCACTGTCACGTGTCTGCCACGTGTCTGTCACGTGTCCTTCACTGCGACTTTACGCGTGTTGTTGTTCGCCGTTCGTCGAGTAGACGAGGCTCCGAATCCATTGAGTTGTTTCGTTATTCTGTGCACCATTGCGGCAGATTGAAAACAAAAACTAACTTTCTTTAGAACTGCTTGTTGTTGTTGTTGTGTGTTTAGTTTGTTTGTCCTTCCCCCCGCACCTCCGATTAGCGCGGTTGGCTACGTACGGTGCGAACGAAGTTCGACGTACAAACGTACATCATTCACATCATTTGATTGTGTGGCCTTCATAGAAAGATTATATAACAGGCGACGTATCAGACAATACACCAGAAGGACCATCGCCCGAAACGTCAGATATATTTATCTTTCAGGCCACACGCGGTTCACGTTAATGAACGTGTTGTCCCCCCTATTATTATATTTTGGTACTGGCAAAGGAGGTCTAATGATGTAGATGCTTATACCCCGAGCCCTCATTACTTTGATAGTGAATTGTCTTTGAGCTGTACGTCTTTTGGCGTCCTCTGGTCGAGCACCAATTGGGTCGAAGCTCAAAAGAAAGCCGTCCCTTGGTGTGGACCAATCAGTTTCAAGGACAATACATATATAATCAGAGTAGTAGGTTTTTACCCTTTAAACTGGTACAAAACTGACACCTTTCTACAAGGCATCATGTTTGCAATAACCGCAACACAAGCAGTCAAAATGCAAACAAAAAGAAACAACTCTGATAATGGTAATGATATGCACTGTCCTTGAAGTTGATTGGTCCACACCCGAGACAGCTTTCCTTAGAGCCTAGTCTCCAGTGCTGTTGGACCAGATGACGCCAAAAGGCGTACAACTCAAAAACAGTACACTATCAGAGCTTCAATAGACCCAAGTCGACCCCGACTACACCGCTGCACCCGCGCGTAAACCCCGCGCGCAGTGATACGGCCGGCGCACTTTCGGGGGTCTCTGGCCCAAAGACGCTGGGGCAACGCTACCAAGCTCACGTGCGGGATCCACCCCCTGAGTCGGAGCCAGTTCTGCAACAGACTCCACACCGGTGTTATCAGAGAGCCCACTTCAATGTGTGATCGATGAGCATTCGTGACGGAGCGGACTCATGAGAGTGCGCAATAAAAAATGTTCTTCACTTACTTCAAGTGGCTTGAGGAACGGCGCTCTACAAATATGAAATATAAACTGAGATAAGGAACCGAGGCCCCCACTCAGGCCTGCCCCAGCCCTACAGAATGCACTCTGCTGCTGGCCATGATGTGTCCAGCGGTGTATGTGTGTTGCCCATTGTGTGCCAGTGGTGTGTGTGTGTGCTGGTCATTGTGTGCCCAGCGGTGTGTGTGTGTGTGTGCTGGTCATTGTATGACAGTGGTGTGTGTGTGTGTGTGTGTTGCCCATTGTGTGCCAGTGGTGTGTGTGTGTGTGTGTGCTGGTCATTGTGTGCCCAGCGGTGTGTGTGTGTGTTTTGCCCATTGTGTGACAGTGGGGTGTGTGTGTGTGTGTTGCCCATTGTGTGCCAGTGGTGTGTGTGTGTATGTTGCCCATTGTGTGCCAGTGGTGTGTGTGTGTGTGCTGGTCATTGTATGACAGTGGTGTGTGTGTGTGTGTGTGCTGGTCATTGTGTGCCCAGTGGTGTGTGTGTGTGCTGCCCATTATGTGCCAGTGGTATGTGTGTGTGCTGGTCATTGTGTGACAGTGGTGTGTGTGTGTGCTGGTAATTGTGTGCAAGTGGTGTGTGTGTATGCTGCCCATTATGTGTCAGTAGTGTGTGTGTGTGCTGCCCATTATGTGCCAGTGGTGTATGTGTGTGCTGCCCATTGTGTGCCCAGTGGTGTGTGTGTGTGTGCTGGTCATTGTGTGACAGTGATGTGTGTGTGTTGACCACTATGTGCCAGTGGTGTGTGTGTGTTGCCCACTGTGTGCAAGTGGTGTGTGTGTGTGCTGCCCATTGTGTGCCCAGTGGTGTGTGTGCTGGTCATTGTGTGACAGTGATGTGTGTGTGTTGACCACTATGTGCCAGTGGTGTGTGTTGCCCATTGTGTGCAAGTGGTGTGTGTTGCCCATTATGTGCCAGTGGTGTATGTGTGTGCTGGTCATTGTATGCGAGTGGTGTGTGTGTGTGATTGCGCTGGCCCATTGTGTTGTTGTTGTTGTTGTTTTCCTCGGGCCGTACCACCATGCGGGAGGTGGTGACCCAGCAGTCGTCTGGGAAGTCCTGCAGCATGGGCACGAGGAACTGCAGGCAGCCGTCCCAGTGGCACAGCAGCAGCATCATGGCGATGAGGTTGATGATGCGCATCACGGCGCTCGCCAGGTCGTACGTCATGTGGAAGATCTGTCGCGACGGGCAAGGGCGACACGAAGACAAAGATACCCCCGTATAGCCTCAACAGACTGTTGGGGCAAGTGCAGCTACCTATGTGTAATGACAGTGGCGTCTGCATGCGGTGTGAGTGAACTAGTGGCCACGGGAGGTAATGACAGGGGAGTCAGCCTGCAGTGTGAATGGACTAGTGGCCACGGGAGGTAGTGACAGGGGAGTCAGTATACAGTGTGAATGGACTAGTGGCCACGGGAGGTAATGACAGGGAGTCAGCCTGCAGTGTGAATGGACTAGTGGCCACGGGAGGTAGTGACAGGGGAGTCAGCCTGCAGTGCAAATGGACTGGTGGCCACGGGAGGTAATGACAGGGGAGTCAGCCTACAGTGTGAATGCACGAGTGGTCACGGGAGGTAATGACAGGGGTGTCAGTTGTGAGTGCGTAGAGACCGGTGGCTACGGGAATTATCGAGAAGAGAGCGAGGTCAGGTGACGGAAGAGGACGGTGGAGTCTGCCAGTGGAGCGAGCGTCCAGAGTCAGCAAGAAGGTTCGGGAACGGGGGCGTGGCCTCGTGTCAGTATATAAAAGGGAGATGCGCGGGAGACTCGGGGCTGTCGCAGTGGGGGTCTCGGCCTCGTGTCAAGTAAACGTGTCTTCAATAAAGTGCCATCTCAAGAGAAGTGTGTCAAGTCGTCTTTACATATGCAAGGCCGGAAGAGCACAGAGACAGACACACACAAAGACAAAGATCCCCCCCCTCCGTGTAGCCTAATCAGACTGTAGGGGCAAGTGCTGTTCGCGAATAGCACCTATGCAACGCTGAAACGGCACACGAGGCGGTGGGTGGCCAGCACCACGCCTGGCCGCGTTTGTCTCCCCAGTGGCGATGTTTACACACCGCACCAGCTACTCATTTGAAGCTGAGTCGACTTAGGGGAGGCCCAGGACCGGTTCAGATAATCGTCACCGGTGTTGGCCATGAGTGGGAATCGAACTCTGGTCGCCGGGTTCGTAGCGCAGTGCAGCGCTAACTACAAAGACACACAACGACAAAGATCCAGCGTATAGCCTTAACAGGCAGTTGGCGCCGGTGCTCTTAGCGCGAGTAGCACACTGTGTGAAGCGGGAGCTGAGTTCTCGAACAAAGCTCTCGGTTTGCCGGTCGATCTACGTTCCCACCCTCACCTATGGCCATGGACTTTGGGCAATGACCGAAAGGGTGAGATCGCGGGTACAAGGGGTCGAGATGAGGTTTATCGGCAGGGTTTTCCGGGCTCACTCTCCGTGATCGGATAAGGAGCTCGGTAATCAGGGAGAGCCGCAGAGTCGAGACGCTGCTCCTGCGGATTGAGACGAGCCAGTCGAGGTGGTTCGAGCACCCGGTGAGGATGCCCCCACCCCGGTAGACTCCCCCCTGGGACTCTACCGGGCAGCACGTCCCACTACGTCGCTCTGCTGGCCCGGGAATACCCGGGAATTCTCCAGGAAGGGCTAGAGTCCATGTATAGTAGTGTATAGCAGTGTAGTGTATAGTGTAGTAGTGTATAGTGTAGTGTATAGTAGTGTATAGCAGTGTATAGCAGTGTAGTGTATAGTGTAGTGTATAGCAGTGTATAGCAGTGTAGTGTATAGTGTAGTAGTGTATAGCAGTGTATAGCAGTGTAGTGTATAGTGTAGTAGTGTATAGTAGTGTATAGCATTGTAGTGTATAGTGTAGTAGTGTATAGTAGTGTATAGCAGTGTAGTGTATAGTGTAGTAGTGTATAGCAGTGTATAGCAGTGTAGTGTATAGTGTAGTAGTGTATAGTAGTGTATAGCAGTGTAGTGTATAGTGTAGTAGTGTATAGCAGTGTAGTGTATAGTGTAGTAGTGTATAGCAGTGTATAGCAGTGTAGTGTATAGTGTAGTAGTGTATAGCAGTGTATAGTAGTGTAGTGTATAGTGTAGTAGTGTATAGTAGTGTATAGTAGTGTAGTGTATAGTGTAGTAGTGTATAGTGTAGTGTATAGTAGTGTATAGTAGTGTAGTGTATAGTGTAGTAGTGTATAGTGTAGTATATAGTAGTGTATAGCAGTGTAGTGTATAGTGTGGTAGTGTATAGTGTAGTGTATAGTAGTGTATAGCAGTGTAGTGTATAGTGTAGTAGTGTATAGCAGTGTATAGCAGTGTAGTGTATAGTGTAGTAGTGTATAGTAGTGTATAGCAGTGTAGTGTATAGTGTAGTAGTGTATAGCAGTGTATAGCAGTGTAGTGTATAGTGTAGTAGTGTATAGTAGTGTATAGCAGTGTAGTGTATAGTGTATAGCAGTGTATTGTATAGTGTAGTAGTGTATAGCAGTGTTATAGCAGTGTAGTGTATAGTGTAGTAGTGTATAGTAGTGTATAGCAGTGTAGTGTATAGTGTAGTAGTGTATAGCAGTTGTAGCAGTGTAGTGTATAGTGTAGTAGTGTATAATGTAGTGTATGTAGTGTATGTAGTGTAGTGTATAGTGTGGTAGTGTATAGTGTAGTGTATCGTAGTGTATAGCAGTGTAGTGTATAGTGTAGTGTATAGCAGTGTATAGCAGTGTAGTGTATAGTGTAGTAGTGTATAGTGTAGTGTATAGTAGTGTATAGCAGTGTAGTGTATAGTTAGTAGTGTATAGTGGAGTGTATAGTGTAGTGTATATCAGTTAGTGTATGGCGGTTTTATATTGGTAGTAGTGTATAGTTGTAGTAGTGTATAGCAGTGTAAAGCAGTGTAAGTGTATAGTGTAGTAGTGTATAGTAGTGTATAGTCTAGTGTAGTTAGTGTAGTTAGTGTATAGCAGTGTAGTGTATAGTGTAGTAGTGTATAGCAGTGTAGTGTATAGTGTAGTAGTGTATAGCAGTGTAATAGCAGTGTAGTGTATAGTGTAGTAGTGTATAGTAGTGTATAGCAGTGTAGTGTATAGTGTAGTAGTGTATAGCAGTGTATAGTAGTGTAGTGTATAGTGTAGTAGTGTATAGTGTAGTGTATAGTAGTGTATAGCAGTGTAGTGTATAGTGTAGTAGTGTATAATGTAGTGTATAGTAGTGTATAGTAGTGTAGTGTATAGTGTGGTAGTGTATAGTGTAGTGTATAGTAGTGTATAGCAGTGTAGTGTATAGTGTAGTAGTGTATAGTAGTGTATAGCAGTGTAGTGTATAGTGTAGTAGTGTATAGTGTAGTGTATAGTAGTGTATAGCAGTGTAGTGTATAGTGTAGTAGTGTATAGTGTAGTATATAGTAGTGTATAGCAGTGTATAGCAGTGTAGTGTATAGTATAGTAGTGTATAGTAGTGTATAGTAGTGTAGTGTATAGTGTAGTAGTGTATAGTGTAGTGTATAGTAGTGTATAGCAGTGTAGTGTATAGTGTAGTAGTGTATAATGTAGTGTATAGTAGTGTATAGTAGTGTAGTGTATAGTGTGGTAGTGTATAGTGTAGTGTATAGTAGTGTATAGCAGTGTAGTGTATAGTGTAGTAGTGTATAGCAGTGTATAGCAGTGTAGTGTATAGTGTAGTAGTGTATAGTGTAGTGTATAGTAGTGTATAGCAGTGTAGTGTATAGTGTAGTAGTGTATAGTAGTGTATAGCAGTGTAGTGTATAGTGTAGTAGTGTATAGCAGTGTATAGCAGTGTAGTGTATAGTGTAGTAGTGTATAGTAGTGTATAGCAGTGTAGTGTATAGTGTATAGCAGTGTATTGTATAGTGTAGTAGTGTATAGCAGTGTATAGCAGTGTAGTGTATAGTGTAGTAGTGTATAGTAGTGTATAGCAGTGTAGTGTATAGTGTAGTAGTGTATAGCAGTGTATAGCAGTGTAGTGTATAGTGTAGTAGTGTATAATGTAGTGTATAGTAGTGTATAGTAGTGTAGTGTATAGTGTGGTAGTGTATAGTGTAGTGTATAGTAGTGTATAGCAGTGTAGTGTATAGTGTAGTGTATAGCAGTGTATAGCAGTGTAGTGTATAGTGTAGTAGTGTATAGTGTAGTGTATAGTAGTGTATAGCAGTGTAGTGTATAGTGTAGTAGTGTATAGTGTAGTGTATAGTGTAGTGTATAGCAGTGTAGTGTATAGTGTAGTAGTGTATAGCAGTGTATAGCAGTGTAGTGTATAGTGTAGTAGTGTATAGTAGTGTATAGCAGTGTAGTGTATAGTGTAGTAGTGTATAGCAGTGTAGTGTATAGTGTAGTAGTGTATAGCAGTGTAGTGTATAGTGTAGTAGTGTATAGCAGTGTATAGCAGTGTAGTGTATAGTGTAGTAGTGTATAGTAGTGTATAGCAGTGTAGTGTATAGTGTAGTAGTGTATAGCAGTGTATAGTAGTGTAGTGTATAGTGTAGTAGTGTATAGTGTAGTGTATAGTAGTGTATAGCAGTGTAGTGTATAGTGTAGTAGTGTATAATGTAGTGTATAGTAGTGTATAGTAGTGTAGTGTATAGTGTGGTAGTGTATAGTGTAGTGTATAGTAGTGTATAGCAGTGTAGTGTATAGTGTAGTAGTGTATAGTAGTGTATAGCAGTGTAGTGTATAGTGTAGTAGTGTATAGTGTAGTGTATAGTAGTGTATAGCAGTGTAGTGTATAGTGTAGTAGTGTATAGTGTAGTATATAGTAGTGTATAGCAGTGTATAGCAGGTAGTGTATAGTGTAGTAGTGTATAGTAGTGTATAGTAGTGTAGTGTATAGTGTAGTAGTGTATAGTGTAGTGTATAGTAGTGTATAGCAGTGTAGTGTATAGTGTAGTAGTGTATAATGTAGTGTATAGTAGTGTATAGTAGTGTAGTGTATAGTGTGGTAGTGTATAGTGTAGTGTATAGTAGTGTATAGCAGTGTAGTGTATAGTGTAGTAGTGTATAGCAGTGTATAGCAGTGTAGTGTATAGTGTAGTAGTGTATAGTGTAGTGTATAGTAGTGTATAGCAGTGTAGTGTATAGTGTAGTAGTGTATAGTGTAGTGTATAGTAGTGTATAGCAGTGTAGTGTATAGTGTAGTAGTGTATAGTGTAGTGTTT